TGAATTCATGCCTTTCCCAAGGGTATGTTTTGCGAAAATGAACGTATATTAATTTGAACCCGACAAGTCGATTTCTCTTTCTGAACTGCTGACCGTTATATTACTCTCATCTCTACACATACTTGAACGCGGTATCAATTAATTGCAGTTCGAATGTGAGTTTCAAATTTCTCGATACCTTCCATATATCGTTTACTCATAGAATGTCAGGCTTCCGTAACTTGCAGCTGTATATAATATATCTCAGTTAACTAGAATTAAAGAGATTGAAACAATTCTTGAGAAATAACAGGGTCTCTTTTTCTAATTAGAAAACGCGCCATATTTTACTCAGCACTCTCCAGCCTTCAGGAGACTACAAATAAATAAAAAGAAATAGAAACAAAGAAAAATAAACATTTCACGGAATAAGTTTTTAAATTTTTTTAAATTTCGATCAGACTGCTTCCAACCGTTGTATAAATAACTTGACGAAAGCAACGTAACTTCCCACAAGCGCTTGTAAGATAGTTAAACATTTTAAATACTCAGTCAGTAAGTTTAAGGGACTTAGTACATTAAGGCTACATTTAAAGCACTCTTAATAATTTTAGGTCACTCTGTAAATTTAGGGCTTTCTATACATTTATTTCAGAACCCAGTAAATTATGATACATTTTAGGTACTCAGCCAGGAATTTAGAGCATTCACAACATTCAAGGTTCTTATTACATTTAGGATACGTTTACGGTATTCAACTTATAAATTTAGGGTAGTTAAAAATCTTAGGATGGTTAGAAAATTTACAGCTCTCGATATATCTATGATATTTTAGGGTACTCGGTCAGTAAATCTAGGGTATTCTGTAAATTTACGGTCCACAATACATTAAAGATACATTTAAGGTACTCCGTCAGTAAATTCAGGGCCACTCAGTAAATTTAGGGCATTCAGTATACATTTAAGGTACTCAGTAAATATAGCCCGTAAATTTAGGGTATTTCGTAAATTTAGGGCCCTCGGTACATTTAAGGTATTCAGTAAATTCAGTGCACTTAATAACTTGAAGATATTCAATAAATTTAGGGCTCTTAGCATATATAGGATATATTTAAGGTACTCAGTAAATTTAAGATACTCATTACAGTTAATATACATTTGTAGGGGACCTTGCGGGTTTGTGTGTTGTTGAATTATGAACACGTGCTGTTTATCCTGCTAGAAGAAGGTCCAACAACAAGGAAATGGCGGGCTCAAATTCAGCCCAACCGAAGATGTAAAAAAGACAAACAAAACCGATATATATATATATATATGTCAACAAATATATGCATTAAACAACAAATTTACAAGTGACAAAGTCATTAACATTTGTGTTTGTGTGTGAACGTAAAGAGTTTGTATGTTGGCGAAAGTTCGTACGTACATTTATGTGTGTATAATGTTCACGGCACCTCCTACAAATGGGAAGACGCAGATCTCTACGAGAGATAACATTTTTAAATGTGTCCGCTGAAGCGCAAAGTAGAAAAAAGGTTATTTACCCGCGCCCCACCTCTGCGAGGTAGGATGTGGCACAAGGACGTTATTTAATGCGGGGTAAAACCGAGCCCGTAGGCTCGGGCAAAAATTCCCCGGAGACCCCTTAAAAAAAATGGGGTCAGGTAGCTGTCTACCGTCCCAGACGAGACTCTGGGTTCTTCTCCACCCGAAAGCAGAGAGTTCGACCAGCTTAGCTGGAGACGAATCTAATTGCCGAAGTAAAAACAAAAAGAGAACTAGGCGAGAAGTCGCCCAGTATTTATAGTGTAGGGAAAGTGACCCCTAGTGAACAATTAGGGAATTAAGGAGGAGCTAACTCCGACACATTTTGGTACTCAGACAGTACATTTAGGGTGCTCGGTACATCCTAGATACATTTCAGGACTCAGTAAATTTAGAACTCTGAATACATTCAGGATACATTCACGGTACTCAGTCAGTAAATGTAATGTGCTCAGTAAATTTAGAATGCTTTTAAAAGAGGCTCTACCAGGAAAAATTAAAATACTCAATAGATTTATCATTTAAGGCACTCAATGAATTTCTTCTTTGTCGTAATAATAGAAAAACACATTCTCCTCTTGTGTGAAAATGATTTAAAATAAACTTCAAAATTATATTTTTGGCCGACTCACTGTTGAGAAATGATTCGCAAACTATTTTGGTTAATTGTTGGTGAGTTCAATTTTTATTCAGAACCTCCGCTTTGTGCTTGTACAGTTCTCTTGGCTCCAGTTAATATGGTACTTTCGCCATAAAGAAATTGATCTTACAAATCTCGAAATCTACATTTAAGGCAAATTCTGTAATTGTTTAATTATGGGAAAGAATTTTAATTATTATTTTCTTTTTTAAAAGTAGGTTTGCTTTGGATAATAATAATCTTCAGAAGTCCAGTAGAGACAGAATCTCGAATTTCACTGGGCTACTGAGACTTCTATAAAATAAATGTTTATATAAAATGCAGACATCCGAAATAAACTTGAAGTGACTGTTTTTTTCCCGTTGTTGAGGTTGGTTACTCAAATCAAAATGCTGCATGCTCCGCGTGTTGGATGTGCGGATGGTGTAATGAATAGCGGCGCTAAATTAGAAATCAGAGAACCAGGTTCGTTCCATTCAATTAAGTGCAAATACCCTTGGGAAATGTATGAATCCATCTCTTCACCCCCAGCTGTGGGTTAAATATTAAGACTTGCATCTGGAAAAAAATTGTTAATGCTATATTCGTAGTTAAAAAAAATAATAATAATAATCTTAGAATCCAAAATGTTTCGGGTTTTTTTGTTTTGTTTTTTAAATAATAACCCATAAGACAAAAACATCAGATCAAACTTGCTTTGCGTGCTTCCGTTAACAAATTTCATATTCCAAGCGATAGTCAGGTTTCTGCTTTAGCCAGTGGGCCATGTTTACAAGTGCGAGAAAATCTCGCCCGTTTTTCAGTAAAATTCACTCGTTCAGGAATTTCTTAATCAAGGATTTTTCTTAAACTATGTCTGGAATTTTTCATTTTCTCACAGTCGAGGGAGTTTATTCAATTGTCTCCAGGCTGCAATCTGCGATATTACTTTTTATTTATTTTTATTTTTTTTAAATTTTCAACAACACTTTTGTTGCTAGTAACTAAAAAAAGATAAAATAAAATAATTCAAGTTAAATAAAATATACGACGGAAGATGCTAAAAAAAAAAACCCTCTCCGCCCGAGTCACTTCCCCAAATCATTTCTTGGGGGAACCCCTTCTTGGTCATGCCGAGGTATTTTCGCTCCACGTCGTAATCGCTTTGTTTCTTTTTATTTTTACGCATAGATTACAAATCACACACACACACAAATGTTGGCGGTAGTGACTGGATGTTTTCCTTCTTTCTAAATTATGAACACACACAACTGATTTGAAAAATTTTCATCAGCTGACAAATAGAAAACACTTTTCTTCTTTCTTTTTAACTAAGACTTCCATTTTTTTATATCAAGAAATTCGAAACACAATGAAATAACTTTAGATCTCTAAAAAAAAAAAAAAGTAAACTGTCAGCTTTATCATTTATTTAAGTTCGAAGCCATAGACAAAAAAAAAACTACCACTGCTGCTAATTCTTTCAGTTAAAATTGTTATCACCACGATTTTCTATTCAGCGATAATAATTATAATACGCACAAGTAATAAATAAAAGAATTACTAACGGAGTGGTTTTTATTGTGCAACTAGTAAGTAAATAAGTCGTAGACACAGTAATGTTAGTAGGTTTACACTTTTTTTTAATACCATGCTTCTTTCATGGCCAGCCCACGTGCACATCCAGGCTTGAACACAAGCTGATCACATGATAACTTGTCGTTGATTGGTCGAGCTGAAGCTGCCCCGATTTCTGATTAGTTGAAATCATTTACACGCCTACGTCACTTAATGTGCTTTCCCTGCGGTGGAGAGTTCAGGTTTTTCCCCTTCGTTGTTTCTTTTTTTCGTGTCTTCCGTCTCGATTCAATTTGATTTTTATCAATAAATAATTTGGTTTACACATGTTTATATACCGACTTTTAAAGTATTTATATATCGAAAACAATAAAACTTTTATGACTCAAAATGTGGAGAAAAAAAGTATTATGCCGGTGATTTTTCGACAGGTGGTCGTGTAAGCCCGGTCGACATCCACCTCCCATAAAAAAAAAAAAAAAAAAAAAAAAAAAAAAAAAAAACTAAAAGAGTAAGAAGACAGACAGTCATGTTGAATTTGAAATGTTTCCGATAAAAAAAAATGTTTTGAAATAATTGTTTTTAGGATTTTCTCATGTAGCTTCGATAAACTGATGTTTTTTTTTTAAGGTACGTGACTGAAAGAGAAAAAAGATATACTGACAAAGAAAGAAAAACCAACTGGTTTCAGAATAATTTTTCTTCAATAATTTTAATAACAATGGTGATTTTTAAAGCATTCCTTATAAAATGATTTCACTTCTCTTTTTTCTTTTCTGATGACTATTTCTCGACAAAGTGAATACGACAGCTTTTTTTAAGCGGCTCTTTTGTTGCGAACACATTATCTCTTTCTTTCTTTCTTTCTTTTTTTTTTTCTTTCTTTTTCTTTTTTTTCCTCTCTTTCTTTCCCCAGCACCTCGTATCTTTCTTCTCTCTATTTATCAATAAATTAATCCTTCATATATTACTGCCTGTCTTTCTTGCTTTTTAGATCATTACTTTTCTTCTTCTCTTCCTCCCCCTCTTCCTCCTCCTCCTCCGCTGTTTTGTTTTTGTTTCTCCCCCTATCATGCTATCCTGACCTCCTACTATTTTCCCTTTCTTCTCTCGTGTCGTAGCTGCCGGCTTCCTCCTAATCTTGTCAAAGTGACAACAGAGACGCATTGGTGCGCTGTGCGTTAAGAAGTCATTGCTCGTTTCTCTATTCTTTCCCCGCTTTTCTTGGAGAAATAGTAGTACGGATCAAAACTTAAAAAAAAAAAAAAAAATGCACGGAATGGACAATTGCTGTCCACCTTCGCCTCCAGCCACTCCACCAAACTTGATTGTAAGTAAATTACATTTTTTTTTATTTTTCACTAAAAGCAACAAGCTTAAGTCAAATTCGGATTGAAACTTTTTTCCTTTGTTTATATAAATCTTATTTTTTTTGTATTAGAATTTTTAACTGAGTTTTCTTATTTTAGTTTTAAATTAATTTATTTTTCTGAAAAATATATGATCAATTATATGGGTTTCTGTACCGATGTTCAAAACAGCTTTTTTTTTTTGTTTAAATTTCAATTTTTAAAAATTCTCTTTGTCGATGAATGAATTTGTCATCATTGAAGAAAAAAATAATAAAAAGTTAATAAAAACATAAACGATAGTTTTAATTGAACAGATTTGATAAATTTATTATTTAATTCACTCTTGATTTTTTTTTTTTTTTTTAGCGTAAGCCTATTCATAAAAAAAGATACTAAAATTTGTATCTGGGATTTTCTTTTTCTATAACAAAAATAAAATCGTTTAAAAATCATCTCAGAAAGTTAATCTAAATCTCTTTAGTTTTTAAAAAGTTTAAAATACAATTTCTAAAAAGATTTTAATTTTCAATAACTTTCTCTCAGCTTTTCTTTTAATTTTCTCTTCTTTTTCCTTCTCAGAACTTCTGTGATCGGAAGAATTCTTTTTATTTCCTCAAATGATTATTTTCTAATTACGTCAACTGTTTTTATAACTTCCTTAGCGATTATGAAATAACAAAAAAGTTAAAGCTTTTCTTTTTGGCTTGTTAAAAAAAGTCATTTAATCAACACTTTCACATTAAAAAAAATCTGCCAAATTTTTACAAAGTCTGTTAGCATTTCTGTAAATCTGCCAAGAATGTAAAATTTTGCTTTTACTTTTAGAAATAATTTTCATCTATTGAATGTTCTATATAAAATTTTTTATAAACATTTTGCTCAAAATTTAACGTAATCGACAAAAAAAAAGTTTTTTTGTTACCTGATAAAAAATTTTTCAAGTTTTAAAGTGCTTTGTTTTTATTGAGAATTTTACAATCTGTTAAAAAATTTTTTTAACTATTTTTTAGAAATAGAATTGAATCAGTGAAAAAAATACGTTAGTTAATTTTTTTTCATTGATTCGCCTCAAAAGTTAATAATCTGCTTCCTATTTTTATGCGTATCATTTTTGCAAAAATTATATTTAAAACTTGAATTTAAAAAATTAAATTAAAAAAAGCCTTGAATTTGACAGACTTTTTAACTATCTTTTTTTTTTCTTTTTTGGCTTCACTTGTTTAATCTAATGTCGTTTTTCATTTTCTGCGTGTTTTCTTTTTAGTCAGTTCACAATAAATAATAAACTTAATTTTCTCTGTTAGTGGCACGCTTCTTTCATTGTTACAATTATGCCCCGTTTATTCGTTCACTCCTAACTCTCTTTTCTTCTTTACATCTTTCTTTTAAATAAGGCGCCAGTTGCTGCTTTTTCACGTTTTAGTCACATTCGCATTTGTTCATTTCAGTTTTTACTTCTCTCTCATTCTATGATGTGGATTTACTGGAGTGCAATTATTAAAAAAATTAAAAATAAAACGATAATAAAAAAACAACGTAACTGAAAAATAAAATAAACCAATTTCGTTAATCTGTTAATTTTTTTCGTTTTTAAAAAGGAAATCTGTAACATTTGATGAGTTGAAAAATCTCACGAGGCCTTACTTAATTACTTTTTAAAAAACTTACTTATCCTTTGTAATATATTTCTCTGAAATTATATTTCATAAAACTTAAATTGCATTTTTAAATGCAGTCTGTGATTTGTGCAAAAGCTAACGAAAAAAAAAAAAAAAGTCCTGTGTGTGTGTACGTGATTAGTTGCTGGGTGTGGCTGTGATATATGCTAAAAAAGCAAGGTCAAGGATGCTGCAGGGAAAGACCTTTTTTTTTTTTCGTCGTGCATCAAGCAGCTAATTACGTCTTATTTAAAACCGGTTTGCATTTAAATTGCTTATAGAAATTAAAAAAAAAATAAATTAAAATCTGATGGTTGAAAAATGAGAAAGAAATCACCATCCGTGGCAGCGGAGGAAACTGCATTCACGTGAATCAATAAAAACAAGCAGGAAAAATAGTTTCCTTTGGTAATTTACAGATTGATGTCTTTTTATTTTTTGATCGATCGAGAAAATAAGTGATCCTAAAGTCTAAATGCTAAAAGAAAATGCATTTGCTTAAAGATCTTGTAAAATTTGTTAATGACAATGTTAAGCATCGAAAATGTCAACAAAATTGTATATTTATTTTTAAATTTTAAGATTCAGCTGAGGACATATTTATTTTAGGTGATGATGGAAAGTTCTCAGCTTGACCCAATTCCAAAAATCTGGACGAATGACTAAGCTAAGCATAAGATTTTTTTGGTGGGTTAGGTATTATTATTCCTTTTTTTGGTCAAGCTCAGAAGTATTCAAAGTTCGCTCGTAAAAGCATCGATCGACTATAGTTAAAAATCGAATAAAAAAAGCAACCCTAGTCAGAATGAAAATGTTTAGAGTTCGTCTCTTATAAAATTCTTTTCTTTTTTTTCTTTTTTTTCTTTTTTTTTTTTTTTTTTTTTTTTGCACTGACAAACTTATTTTCCCGCGTATGTAGTCATCAATAGTCAGGTTTTATTCCTTCAAAAAGGCATTTTGGTAGTTTTTCTTTGCGTTATTTATCCACAACACAATCTTGTGTATTATTTTTTTTTTAATATACAGTTACACAGGCATAGGTTTTTATATTTATTTTTTAAAAAAAAGCATTTCAACCCATCAATATACGGGAAAAAAAGTATATAATTGCTAATTTATTTGTAAGTTTAATTTTTGAATTTTAAATTGCAATATAAGATACGGTTAAAAAATCTATTTTCTTTAAAGTTTCATAGTAACGCTACGTGCTGATGATTGACATCATATGGGCGTGGCTATAAATAAGGTCACGGTGATCACTCGTTCTCTGCGTGCTCGCCTTGTTTGGACACGTGATCAGGAAGTGAGATGCCTGACTGGGTTGGCCGCACTTTAAAACTGTTATTACGTACGCATATGTGTTGTTATCTATCGGGTTTCTTTTTTTTTTTCTCCCTCCAATCCACTTGATTTTTTTTATTTCTTTTATTGCTCGCCCACCCTAAAATGTTAATTAAACACCTGACTTTTGTCAGAGGTAATGAAATTCTCACTTCATAATAAAAAAAAATCTATTGCTGGCGATGATGGCATAACTGTGATGCACCCATTGCAGCTGTGGTAAATTGATGACTTCTCATATATTAAACAATTGGTCTTTTCTTCTTCTTTTTTTATCCCCCCCAAAAAAAAAAGAAAGGATAAATTAGTGGTTACTTATTACGAAAGCATATGGTTTATAAAATTAAAAAAAGTGTCTCAATTTGTATGAGAGTCCTTACAAGTTTAAAGCTATGATGTTTGTTTTTTGTTTTGCGTCAGTTCGTTTTTGGCGCTTCTGAAATAAAAAGGCAACAAAAATATTGATTGAAAATTTTCTGTCCTACTGAGTTATGAAGATGTTTTGTATTTAATGCTTCAAGTTTTTCCCATTTTACAAATCTGTCGTTGCTGCTGTTAAGCTTTGTGTGTGTATTTTGAAAAATATTTTGTTTATTCTTTCATGAAAAATGAAACGTGAATTTCAGTATTTTCCGATCACATGATTTTTATTTGGGATCGCTGATCTATAGATTTTTTTTTTTTTTACTATCATTGTTAGTTTTCCAACCATTTTAAAAATAGCTTCATAAAATAAAACTTGAAAGAATGAGCGAATAAGCACAAAAAAAATTAAAATTTAAAAATCCTTCTTTTCGCACGGAATATCGTCTGACAGAAATGAAGTGATCTTTCTGTTTTGCTTTTATTTTCAAAAATCTAAGAAATAAATTAATCTTTTATTTCTTCCTTCGAAAGTCTCGAAAATTACTTTTTTAAATTTATTTATTTATTTGTGTGTGTGTGTTTCATCAAAAAAGCAAAATTCATCATAAAACTAAGTCATGATTTTAAAAAATGGGTTCTCAGTATTCACAATAAAATACTTGAATAAAGAAAAAAATAATTTGTTACAAAAATATTGTACACTTTTTTTTTCTTGGGGAGTATTGAAATTCAAACAAAGACTGAGGTAGGTTGTAATTTCTGGAAGAATTAAGTTTAATTACCTTATTTTATTAAATTTCTAGAGACAAAAAAAATGAAGAAAATACAAGTATTTATTAAAGTTCAAAAATATATTTTCACTGAAGTTACCCGCCTTATTACTTAAATTTTAACTTGGAGAAAGACGAAGGAAGGAAATTATGTTGGTGTTCGTCGTTCGGAATGTCATCTATGATGAGGAAACACCATGTTTTCTGCCATGCATTTTTCTCAGAAGAAAAAAATTATAGGAACTGGAACAAATCTGTAGTGTATTGAAAAATATAATTTGACTGACCCTTTTTTGTTTGTGTAATTAATTAACTTAATTATTTCAATTTTTTAAAAAGTTATTTTCAAATTTCATTCAATTGGTGAAAAAAATAAATGTCTAAGTAGTAAAAAAACTAAAAAAAAAAAAAAATCTGTCAGGTTTGAAGAAAGCGCTAAAAAAATTAAAAATTTGAATAATGATATCTTATGAGTCTTAGTACAAATATACTCTTAGAAAAACACTGATTACACTGAATATGAAAAAATCGGCTTCATTAAAATAAAATTTACTTCTTTTTTTTTTTTCTAACGTTTTTAGTAGATAGCTATTCTAATTGAAAAGTTAAAAGAAATATTGTTTGTTTACACTTTTCAACCGAGGATTGCATATCATTCGATTTGGAAAAATAAAGACTTACTACACAGTCAGTAAGAATTTTAAAAACAATGAATAATACTTTGAATTTTGAATAAATACTTTCCAAAATGTAATTTTCTAGAACCGCCGTGAATATATCTCTAAAAAGAAAAAAAATTACTAAAGTTGAAATGCACGATATTTTCAATGAAATAAATAAAAATGACAGAAATGCAAATGTTACGATCCTTTTTTTAACGACTCCAAATCCAGCAGAGAATGTCTGTAGAACTTTTTTTCCAATTTTGATTGCTTAGTACTAACCACTAAGCCATATCCTCGTATGAATTACTTTTAGCCAAGTATCATCTTAATTATGGAATTCTGTCTGTTTTTTTTTTTTTTTGTTTTTTTGTTTGTTTTTTTCTCTTCTTCTTGGATACATTTTGTTTGTTTTTAATCACTGCAAGAGATACAAATACAAAAATGATAGAGCATTTGTTTATTATTTCAGTTAGCCTTGAGTTTTCATGGCTCTCCACCTCTTCTTATCCTTTAACACTTAGCAACGTTTGTCTTTTTTGTATCCTTTACACTCCTAATTTTTAATTTTATAAAAAAAAATTTAACACAAGCTTGTTACTTATTGTTTCCTTGTCTCTTTTGCTTTCAGTGTATCCTGAGAAGTGTGAAGTTCAGAGAATTAGTGAAAGACATTTATATTGGATAATAATTGGCTGTTTGTCTATGATTCAAGATTGAAATACACTTAAGATTAAAGATCATTAAATTTAAATAGAATTAAATCACATTCATTAAATTTAATAAATGAAAAAAACTGACTTAATTTTGTTTCTACCTTTACTTGGCCAAATATAGACTTTTTCCTTATATTTTTCACTCATATTTTCAGGAACGCACGATGGGACTTTCTCCAAAGAACAGCAATGCTGAGGAACGGGATGCTGTTGAGACCCTGCTGTCCATCAGCTCAAGCAAATGTAAAGATATTGACAATTTTACACTTGTTTTATCAAATGTCAATGGAACACCACCATCACCACCTTATCAACAAGAAGTAGTTCGCCCTGATGAAAATAAAAAGCCTGTTGAATATCGAAGGGAATCCAAACTTGCCAGGGTAAGACAATTTTTCTTGGTCATTCAGTCTCTTGCCCTTTTTTTTTTTTAATTTGGTTGTCTGTTTATAGTTTGTTTCCAATTTTTAAATGAGGAATTGGAAAGAAATATAACATTTATTAAAATCGGATTGATTATTCTCCAAAAACTAATTTGGTTAACAATTTTAATCAAATACTCACACACAAACACACAGACGTGTGTGTGTGTGTGTGTGTGTTGTTGTTGTTAGAACGTTTGCTTTCCAAACATAATCTCGCTATGGTTGATTCTTGAAGTTATCATCCTGGGAAGATGATGTCAGTATATGGCATGTTTGGAAAGTGCCTGGGGACCATACCACGAGTTCACCTGAATCTTATGAATGAAAGTGAGTAAATGGAATTGTTCAATTATGGTTGTGTTTGTGTAAGTTGTCATGGCCGAGAGTTTGGAGACACTAGCCTTGTCCAGACTGTTGATCATGCTACATAACGTGCTCTCTCCTAAAAACTGTAACTAAGGTCTGCTCAGCATAGTTGCAGTATAAACCACAGGTTGGCTCTGTGGGTGTTGATCAAACAAATGTGCCCAAGCAGGAATCTGCAACAGGAATTGGCTAGCTACCCTGACAGGCAGGCATACTAAAAATAACAAGTGGTCAGCCATTAATGTGTGTGTGTGTGTGTGTTACACACTATAGGCTAAAAGTTTTGGGACCACCCTATGGATTCAATAATTCACAAGTTTCATACTAAACTGGGATGCTGAAACTATTTATTTTGACTCATAAGTGCATTTTTTTTTTTTTTTTTTTTTTGTTTGTTTGTTTGTTTGTTGTTTTTTTTTGTTTTTTTTTAGAGTGGGTTTACCTACAATTTAAAATTTGCCAGCCTTAAGATTGCCATTAGTCAGCAAGGTCGAAAGAGCTAAAATTTGAAAGAAACTGCAGTAATGGGGGTAAAAAAAAAAAAATTTTTTTCTTTTTTTGCCATCATCATCATCTTTTTTTATTATTATTATTATAATAATAATTGTATGTATGTATGTGTGTGTGTATATATATATATATATATATATGATAAAATCTTTCAGGAACCGAAGTCCCCCTGAGAAATGCCACCTATATTCTAATATGTTTTAGGTTAGGTGCTTTCATTAATTAGGTATAAATTTTTAATACCTGAGATTTAAAATGAATTTTTATAAATGAAGAGCATTCTTGAAGATTTCATTTTAGGTTTAATTGAAAGCTAAATGATTAAATTTACTATTTCCAGTAAGTAAAATATTCGGGTGTATTTCAAATAAAAAATTATATAGATCAGAATCTCAACATTTTTGCCGATTTTAAGAAAGTTGTAAACAAAACAAAATTACCGACTTTAAAAGTTTTACAAAAATATCTATTTGTGACATGTTATTTGAGTAAAATTAATGAATTTAAAGTTAAATTAATCTGATTTAAAATAAACATTACTTACTTATAGCATAAAAAGTAATATACAAGCATTTCTTAACAACAGGTCCTGTTTTTCTATGATCTTTATTGACGTATTGATAAGTTCCAAGGCAATGACAGCTAATATGGATGACCAGAATTGACATAAATTTATGAAATCTAAGTGAACGCATTTTTTCATTCTTAGCTACCTAGTAATTTTTACAAATTAACATATTTTCAGCAATTATTTAATATTTTATTGACTTTTAGTTATGTTTGAAAACGCTTTATGAAAAAATGAAATTTACAGTACTAAAAAAATTTTCTTAAATTAATTTTAATAACAGATGAAATTAAAATAAAGATAAGTAAGCAAGAAAATTAACACATTGATCTGGAATTTTTTTTATAATAATTAAAATATTGTGTTTAATCATTAATAATTAATAAACTTTAACATTAGCCAAAACATTTTCTTCAATCCATATGACCATTTCATAATAATGACATGTTTAGGCTATCATAGATGAAAAAGACAATGAATAATATGAAAAAATAAAAAATTATCTTAAAACATAATAGTAAAATGACTTTTAATTTTTTCAATTTTGGATTTGTAAATTTTGTTTCCACTTAATTACAATACCTCATCCAGGAAATAGAGTAATACATAATTTTAAATAAATTATAAATTATTAAAATTTGAAAAAAAAAGAAAAAACTTCTTGTAAAAATTCATTATTCATCAAAAAAAAAATGTTTTTCTTCAGATAATAGTGTTCTTAATATAACTTATTTACAAAAGCGATTAAAATTTTTTCTAATTAAATGTCATAGTTTCATTACATTTTTGTAGTTTTACAATTTGGAGCAGATTTTCATTTAGAATAGTAAAAGTTTGAAAAAAAAAAACGATTTATGTTCTCCAAAGTGTCCTACTTAACTAATAAAAAAAATTTTAAATAGAAAAGAATTTTGCAAAATTTCATGTAATTTGAATAAGAGATTAAAAAAAAATTTTAAAATTAAATTTAAGAAATAATTTCATTCGTTTGTGAATAAGTCCTGGAAGTTTCATTTAAATTCAACAATTATTTGATTTTTTGCAACAATTTTCAAATCACTGGAAAATAAACGCACGCCAAAAAAATATTTGTAATTATTACATCCACTGATGACATAAACAAAACAAGAATTTGAGTCAAAATTTCAACTAGAAAGGATTAAAAAAAAATCTCAAAAAATACTTTGGTCTTAATAATAGCATAAACATTTTGACGATAAAACTTTGTTTTTAAGATTGTGGCCTTTTTCATTATGCTATGTTGTTTTCTGCAAAAAGGTGGAGGTACCTATTTTAGACTGAGCAAAATTATATAAAGTTGCTTGAAAGTCTTATAATCCTAAACCTTATAAACTCTCATGTGACTGGGTATCTTTTATATTTTGAATTTTTTTCTTCTTTTTCTTGTATTGAATTCCTGCAGTAACTGTTGAAATAGATGATTTAAGCATTGGTTAACAAAGGAAACAAGACAAGGGGGTGAAATTGTAGATACTGTCAACCACAGTACATATGTTTAGTTAATTAACTGTTAATGAAACAGAAATAATTCAAGTTCTATGCAGACAAATATTCCCAATTAAATAGAAACAGTAAAAGAACTGATCATAATTCAATGATTCTGGAATGATGAATCTGAACTATTGAATGACGATTTACTTAGATGATAATGCGATTGACATTTCACTAGGTGCTCACTGAATTCAATCTTGTGCCAGCCATTTTATCCAACAAATATCTGAGTGGCGTAGCTTGCATCTTCCTGCAGGTGAAAAAAATTCAGTGGCTTAGGACATTACATCAAATTAGAGACCTAAGTGTTATAGCGTCCCTAGTAGCTTCAAGCAAAATTAATTTATCAAGGTTTTTAAACCACCGATATCAAAAAAGCATATTATTGTTTCATCTGTATATAAAAATGCTCTGCGTGCATTTGTGCTATATTGGATTTCCAATTATACTGGTTTCCATATTTTATTAACTTGAGTTCAGCTCTAAAATCAGACATAAATGTCTACTTGATATCAAGTTTAAAGTGTGTTTTAGCTTAATCTGGTAGAAATTAGATTTTAATCCCTACTGTAACACTAACACTTTAATTAACAGATTAATTGATAAAATGAAAAAAATATTTTAGATTTTTTACTCCATTGTGAATGATCATCTCATTTTGCATATTTATTGCCAATTTTGACACTTGACAACTTTCAGTGAGGGATGAGCTTCATAAGAGTAGTATGAAACGTTCCTTCACTATCCCATTATAGCAAGCATTTTAGTTCCAAGCATTAATTTCTGAACCAAACTTAGTACTATGCTATAAAACTATATTAAAAAATAGAATATTTGGTAATAACTACTTTGATATAAATTGCTAAATACCTCTCAGTTAGTTTTTGTGAACAGGGAAGAATAAGATCCGATATAATTAATCTTATGGGGTTTATGGCTCTCCTCTTTACCATGTATAGATTATTAAAGCTGCTAACAAACATTTGTGTTGATAATGCCAAAAAATTATGGGAATGAAGTAGACGTTTTGGTTTAAGTGACATTATGATAATCAAATTTTTGTTTCAAAATTATAAAAGCAGATAAAATTTTGCATTTAAATTTTGATTTATTTTTCTTCAAGTGAAATTACAGCTGATAGTATATGTTGCCCATTTTTTCGGTGGATGTTTGGATTAATTGGTGCATGCAGTAGAAAATACTTCTCATCAATCTTAGATCTAATCTGATAAAATCTGTCACTAAGTTAAAATCTGGCATGTGCATCCTGTTGCATATTATTAAAATGTATTAAAAAGTCTGATACATCGAACAATTAACCAAATAAGTATTTAATTTTTTTTTTAATTTTTAGTTTTTTTTGTTTTTTTTTAAGTGTCCTGTGAATATCTGGTTATAGAATCTTGTTGGTTTGCTCTAAATAAACTTGTCTAATCCTAACCTATGGCATTTAAAAGCTTCTATCTTTTCTATTAATATTGAGGTAATGCTGCACTTACTGAACCCCTGAAGTGGTACTTAGAAACAGAATCTAGAAATTAAAGCCACTTAAAGTCAGATCTTGTCATTTCAAGAAATAAGTAAATCTGCTTCAATAAAATAATCACCTAATTAAGCATTTTGCCTTCAGCAAAGTTATATTTGAATTAATGAAATTAGAAACAACATCTTTCATGATTTTATTCATTTTTTTTATTCGCTATTCCTTGTGTGTAAATGTTTTTGTGTATTTGTAACAATCTGAACTGATTAGATCAGGATTAAGTTTAATGTTGCATGTATATTGGCCTTATGCCAGACTAAACCCGATATGGTAAATATTGACTCTTTATTACAAGTGGGTTATTTACCTCTTTTGACTTAGAATCACATAGGACAAACATTATAAAATGAAAATTTCATATTTAACTTCTGTTAATAGCTGTTAGGCCACATACTTATTGATCTACTCGTGTATATATGTAGAATATGATGCACAATACAACTTAGTTTTTGCTGCAGAACTTTTTTTTTTTTTTTTTTGCTTCACGAATCTAGGTCAACCTTTCTTTCTGTATGCAGTAATGAGGTACTATAGTGGAGTAGTCTCCTACTGCCTTTTCCTTGGTTTTGAATTCACAATAAAAGTCCTAATCTTTATCTTTGTATTTATACTTGTATTCAGATTTTTAAATCTTTAAAAGTAAAACTAGCCAAAAAAAATTCAATATGAAACAAAAGAAATAGAAAGCAGTATATTAGCAGTCTGATCCTCACCACCACCATCATCACCTTATAAGGAGATATATTCTTTTATGGTTATGCAATTTATGTTTGGTTATTGGCATTAAATGTTTCCTGTTACCACAACAACAAAATATCTCTTTAGAAAATAATGAAGACTAGGCTTTATGACCAATAAGTACATAGTCACATTACAGGGTAGATTTATTTATTAAGTGCTTAATTTTGGCATTTGAAGTTTAATCCAAAATCTCTTCGGTTCATTATCATCAACATCAACAATAATTCATTCTGCCTCCTCCTCTGATTTTTGTTGTACACTCATTTCCTTTTGGTTTCCAAACAGAGACCTAAGTGTAGAAATGGCATGACATTTTCCACTGAACATTTTTGTAAAGAAAGGCGGGGATCACACACTTTTTATATAAAGCCTTTTGTAAGGTGTCAGCTATACTTGTGAGAACCTTTTTTTTTCTTTTTTTTTTTTGTATTTCTTTTAGGCTATCTTCACTGAGTCTATCAAAACTTTTTTTTCCAATCAAACTGAGGGCTACAACCATAACTGGAATTGTTAATGTCTCCATCTGCCACATTTTTTAGATATCTACTTAAAGATCTTTGTATTTTGATAGTTTCTTCTCTTTTTTTTATCTTCAAAGATATATTACAGTCTGCAGGAACTGCCATGTCAATAAGAAAGCACATTCTGTTTTTTTGTGGTCTTTGATCCTGGGTGATTAGCTTTGATTTTTCTGTGTAAAGTCCCATAAAATTAAGTTCCTTATGTCTCTAACTGGGTTTGGGTGGTGTTCATATGAATTTCTTGCAGTTTCTTTCTTTAAAAAATTGCTGATTTTTCCTGTGCAGATATTGGCCCACACTCTCATGCTAAGTTTTATATCTGGTGAATGCAATTGTTGTTTGATATTTAGTGATGGTAATTGTAATTATTATTATAATATCTATGCATTTGAATTGCCTACCTTTTTTTTTTTTTTTTTTTTTTTTTCTTCTTCTTCTAATTTCTAACTTTTATCTTATCTTGCAGTTGCTTTGTGAAGGAAATACAGAGACTGATAAAAAGCAGCCTCGGACAAGCCCATGCATTATTGAGGATCGTTCTAACCGTGTGCCAGTCATTATGCCTCCAATTAAAAAACGCAAAGGATTACAACAACACATCCCAGCATCCACATCTTCACCAGCCCCTGTACAGACTGTCAGGTGTCCCTCTCCCCCCAAAGCACCAATCACCAGTGTGCCCAGCTCAGTTATCACAAGTGTCGGTAATGCCAACTGTTTCCTGCTGCCTTCAGCCCCTTCCACTGACCAAAGGTCAGCCGTTCCCAAAGAGGACCATGAAAAAACTCTTCCAGCAAGCACAGTGATCCCTACTACAACACCTATGATCACTGTGCCAACAGTGATGCCAGCACAGAATGTTAACCTAGGTGGGACATTACTGTATAGCATTCAAGGAGCTCTGTACTCCATGCCACCTCTTGTGTTGGTTGTCAATGGTGGAGATTTGAATAGGAAACTCGTAAACCTGAAACCTAATTCAGAAAAACTTTGCCCTATTGCACCTGCCCCAGCACAGATGACTTGTGATAATAATACAAGATCTGATCAGGGACTGACAGATGTGAAACGTAGACGCAACTATGCATGCACATATTCTAACTGTAATAAATCCTATCTGAAGAGTTCTCACCTTAAGGCACATATGCGGACGCACACAGGTAATTTGTTTATTTTTTTTTATTTCTTTAATGAGGTGGTGGGATGTGATCTGAGCTGTGAAAATTAAAAGAGGGTCTATGAGCCAAAATGGTCATAATCACAAATAAATCAGAATTGCAAATGTTTGTTTTTTTTTTTTTTTTTTTTTTTTTTTTTTTTTTGTAGAACTTGAATGGTTTTTTACATTTGGACTAAAGTCCTCATCTTCAGATGTCAGTTGAATATCTGAATGTATATAACTCCCCATACCAGAGATTTAGACAGAAATTGAATGGTTTTATCTTATTCATGTTCATTGAACCTTTTATTATAGCATCATATTGGATTAATGACTCTAATAGGTATAAATCCTCTTGTTTTAACACAGCCTTTTGGCTACCTGAGATGAAAATTGCTTATATATTACTCAAGATAAGAGTAACATCGTCTTATTTAACTTGAGTTGTATGTTTCTAAATAAATTTTGCTACAATGAAAACAACTCTTTCAGTCATTCTAGCTTTGCTATTTCTCTACTACATACACCGTTTTATATATGTGCTTAATGTAATTCATTAATGAGTCATTATTGTACAACTTATAATTACCAAAAGAGAGTGAGTTTGCTTAACTGAAAATGTAGACGAACTCTGGCTTGATTTTGATTTGAGAGTTGTGATTGGAATCACTTTTATCATAAAATAAATTTAAAGTCTTGACCTAACTAATCCCCCTTTCTAAAACTTGACCAAATATTTGTTTGGGCTGAAAACTGTTCAGTTCCCCTTTGTATAATATGTTTCAGAAACCAGATTTCTGCAAGAGAAGAAGGTACAGTCCGACCTGGTTAATTAGGACGTAATACTAATAGAGCAATTCAGCCCAGTTAGGAAGCTGCTCTACATGTGAAGAAAAAATATATCAGTATTTTAAATGTATGCATTTTCACTTTTAGTATAAATTATATATAGTGTGAACATTAATAAATTGTTGAATTAGATAAGAAGAGAATGACTTTTACTATAAAACAAAAATGAAAGCAAATTCAGTAAATCTTTTAGATAAAATTAAATTCACCTGTATCTGAGGAAATAATGTTCTGAGTCAACATTCCCAATTAATATGAATAGAATAAGTCATCCCATTGTATATATGTAAAGCTTTAGGTGGCTAAATTGTGTTGCAATGTCAGTACTGAAGTATTTCTTAATATTAGCAGTTGCACAAATTCACCCACCTACATACGACAACAGTATCTAATGAAAGCTTACATTCAGTGGCAGACTGGGTCTAAAAATATTGGTTGCCAGGAGTCAAAAGGGCCACCCACAACTATAATGCTATTATTTAATTTTTGTAATAAATAAAATTTTTAAAAATGACATGAAAAATAAAAGGGTACAATTGAAAAAATTTTGTGGAAAAATGTGTATTTAGTAATTAGTGTCTGTATTGCACACATTACTGGCAGTAGATACAAAATATAAATGCAGAATGTTATAATTGAATTTTTAATTTTAAGTAATGGTTGATATTTATAAATAGTTTACTGCACAATTTATACATTAGCAGATATTTCAGAAGTGCAGTAGAGCATTGCATGCAGTGCACTATATTAAGAACAATTGTTTGTATTCACTAGATGATTGTTCGAATCTGCCAATAATTGCTCCTGCATTCAATTCATCTAACAATTGCTTTTCAATGGATAGCAATATGTATAATTCCAAATTCTCCTCAGACAATAAATTTCTTAACCTCGACTTTATGATCTCTAGCTTTGAAAATGTCCTCTTACACTGGACTTTAGTAACTGATAAGTGTGCAGATGACTTTATAAAGTTCTTATTCCTTTCTTTTTTTTTCTTTACTTAAAAAAAAAAATAATAATCTGCCTGTGTTTGTTTCTTTGCATTTTTATTTGATATAGGGTGCCCACTTAACATTGGACAAGCTAATACCCTGACCAGTCTACCACTGATTATGTTCTTGCATAAAATAACATAATTTGTCTATTAATATATTCCTTGCTTCTTGGTCTTAGCTAATCACCTGGTATTTACTGAATAGTATCTATAATTATATGGAAAACACTAAAGGGCTGTTCACTAAAGATGGACAATATAGTAATGAGTCGGCGAGACAACCCCCTCCCGCCCCAAAAAAGTCATTCTTTTTTTATGCTGACCTAATTAAACATCTTGTTAGTCTGGGGAATTATGAATAGTCTTGATTTATCTTTTCAAAGTTTGGTTATTTATTGATTAATAGGAATTTAATGTAATGAGTTTAAAAGATGATCTTCTATCAAAGAGGGTTAATTTTTTTTTTCCACTTGCTCATGTTTTTAGCTTCTAAATGGTGCGGATGTTATCTATCCTGTTGAAAATAGTTTCTACTGTAATGTCATTAAAATTGTAGTAATAATTTATGAAGGGAACTGAAGAGTTATTGCTTCAGGTTATAATTTTGTGATTTTTACAATTGAATTATAAATCATTAACAATTTTTATTTATTTATATATTTTCAGGTGAAAAACCTTTTGTTTGTAACTGGAAGGATTGCAATCGACAATTTGCTCGCTCTGATGAACTCTCCCGCCATAAACGCACTCATACTGGGGAAAAGAACTTTCAGTGTTCTCATTGTGATCGTCGTTTTATGAGGAGTGATCATCGCACCAAACACATGAAGACTCACACTGTGGGCAGTAACAAGGGCTTAAAAGGGGTCACTGGTGCAGCTGCTGCTGTCCCAACTACTGCGACTAACTGCCAAATATTGAAATCAGGGGAAATGGCCATCAATATCATGCCAGGTTTAACAACAACATTCTCTCGTTCATCTGTTTCCACATCAGCTTCATCCTCATGATACACATACCAAACCAATTCATCTTTCATCTCTGAAATTTAACTCGTGACAAATCTGTCTTCTCGTCCCTCCCCATTCTAACTTTGTCTCTTGTCTTATTCACAGTAGACATTTCTACAAACATAAATTTATTGCGGACAAACAAAACAACTTTTTTTTTTTTCAGATTTCTTGTCTATTTATTTACTAAGATACATTTAAAAAAAACATTACTTTGGTGGGTGGAGGGGATTCTAAGGCTGCACATCCACACTAGTGGTTTTTAGAAATTTCTAACTGGCAACATTTTTTCAAAATAAAGAAAATGCATTCTTTACTTCTTTTATATAATTATGTGTGTATATATATAATATGTGTGCACACAAAATTAATCTTCAGGTTATGAAGATTGCATTTAAGCATGAAACAGTTTATTGTTGCTAGGTGTGGACCACAATGCCCACTTTTATATTTACACATGCTCTATCCCTGATATTGAGAGCATTTAAACCCATAAGTATAGCATCCTTTAAAAGTATATTTTCCTCATATTAAATGATTGTTTAAGATATGAAACTGTCAGTTACTATGCAGTGTTGATATATATTCCTATCCACTGTCTAACATTTTGCACTCTTCCTCCATATATGTAACAAATATTAATGTATAAAATGTCAAAAGTGCTTTGCAAGTGATTATCGTTTTTCTGAAATATATATATATATATATATATATATATATATATATATATATATATATATATATATACACACACACACACACAATGCCACTTACAAATAATTGGATTTGGATCTCTGGTCTTTCTTAGATTTTTTTTCCTCTCTTGTTAGTAATGTAAATATTCATTCATAAAACACTTAGTGAAGATTGAATTCACATAATGTTCCTTGTATAGAATCGCCTGTTTCAATACATGAGTGTGGAATATTTTTAATTCCAATGAAAATTTAAGATACTCACATTGCATCTAAACCCTAACTTAATTTATGTAACCAAGAAGTAAAGGTAATTGTCAATCCAAATTCAAAAAACAAAAATTACTTAAGTAACAATTGGCTTCTCTCTGGTGAGAGGCTTTACTAGTCATGTTTGTATAAATGTAACTGCATCAGAATGGGCAGTGAGACAGGCCATCTTTAATTTTCCTGTGTTAACACTAATATCTTTATAAGTGTTATCTGAATACTCACTTATCCAAAGCAACTGCTGTTTTCTCGATTTTTAGAAGGACAAGTCATTTTTCACCAAATTTCCAATATTTTAATATTGATTGTTCATTAAAATCATCTAAAAAAAAAAAAAATGTTTAAGTTTGGGTATGTTGAGGTAATTTTTGCCATTCCCCCGTTATCTGATGCTAAGGTAAGCTGTCAATTTTTACCAAATATTTGAGCAGCCAAGACATGTTTCTAACTTGAATGAAAAATGTACTTTATTTTTTTTTTTAAATTCATATTAGTTTATTTTCACTGTTTGTCTTTCAATTTTTAAAGAGAGAAGAGAATGAATCTCTGTTGTTATTTTACTCCTGATCCTATTATTTTGATGACTCAAAACAAAAAATGTTATATTTATTCCAACAAATTCTCTTTAGTGTATTTTGAGATTTAGAAATTCAGAAATGCTTTCATTGATTGGAGACTTAGATGAATTTTTTTTCAAAATTATAATGTTAAAATAATTAACCAGCGTCCCCCATAAGCAAATAGAGATAATTATATTTTTGTTACATTTTTATTTAAAATCGCTTCAGCTTTTTTCTAAGTTTCATTTTTATTTCTGACTGGATGTGAACAATCCAAGGGACATAATTCCTATTTTTTTAAAAAAATTCTCTATGAACACTTGAGATTTTTCTTGTAAAGACATGAATTTTTTTCAATTTGTCTATATTTCTGAGAATATTGTAATTATTTACATTATTCTGACTAGCGTTCTTATTGTCGTGAATATGGCAATAAAGATGAGGACAACAGTCCGAGTAATGTAAATGGATTCTTTCATTCTGTATTTTGGTTAAGCGCACTAACTGCATAAAACTAACAATTAGTTGTCTAAATTTTTCTCACTTTGGCTATGAGAACATTTAAAGTCTATATGAATGCTAAGAAGTCTTGCATCTGTCATGTTGCATAATTAGTCATCATCTTCATACTAGCATCTATTTTGCTATTTAATTATGTGTAACAAATTATTTTTTTTAACTGCAAATCTTGGGTCTTTTATCTGACATGCACTGTCTCACCAAGAACAAAGATTATTTTATATCCATCTTTATTAAAGAATATTTTTCTTTCATCTCCTTCATCTATTTAGAGATCATTGCATTTTCTATTGACTTTGCATGGCAGTGTATGACTGAATCTCTCTTCTCCAGTTCTCTGGCAGCTCCTATATATAATATATATATATATATATATATATATATATATAAAATATTATTTCTTTTGTAAATCTACCAACATGAGGAGGGACCTCTATTTCAGTATTTAAAAAAAGAAAAATGAAATTGTTTCAGAGTACTTTTAGTATGTTTTTAAAGAATTTTATATCCTGATCAAAATTTTAATTTTTTTTTTTTTTTTTTTTTAGTACTGTGATCTGAACAAATACTTGTTGCTAATAAAACTGAAAAGGTAAAAGATTTTTAAAAACCCCAAGAAAATTGATAGCATTTTGAATTGATTTCTTGTATCAGCATTCTGATTTCTTGTTCTTAAAATACATACATTTTAAATACACCTGAATTTATAAAATGATGAAGCCAACCTATATGACATGTGTCTCTAGAAACACATGACAAAGGTAATATTTTGAGTCATTGGCCTCACAGAAAGCAAGAACAAAACATCACAAAGTGTGTAAGTGCATGTGTATAATAATTATGATTCAACATTTGTATGCTGAATTTTATGGCCTTCATAGTTGCAAAATTGACATAATACAAACTTGTTTGATCAAAACCTCATCATCCCTTGTCTTTACAATTCATGGATAAGGTTGATTTATTATTTAAGAAAAAAAAAGGGGGATCGTTTATATCCCATATTGCTTGCTCTCCTTTCAAACTCTTCAAATATATCTTAAATCTATACTTTTATATTCTTCCCTCACCCCAAATTCAAAACAAATCAAAAATGAAATAATTTCTATCATATTGAGAAGGAATAAATTTTGTAAAAAGGGAAAAAAAATTACTTTGAGAGTAATTCAGCTCTCAGAGTGTGTCAGAAGCTTAATAACAGTTGTGAATCTGTTTAGTGGGAGAAAAGAAGAGAGGTTTTTTTTTTCATATCCCCCTGCCATAAATCTTTTGCTTGTGTATTTTTGTATTCAGCTCTATTTGTGCCAGTGATAATACTGCTATTTACTTCTTTCTTCTTTTTTTTTTTTTTAGGGCTGTTTGTCTAATTAGCCAAATCAATGTTTTATGCCTCTAAACCTTGTTAGTCAAAGGGCAAGATGTTTTTTCCCCCCTTTCTGACAATGTATTTTCCTGTTCCACTGTTAAAAATTCAGGTTCTTAGCTTTTTTGCATAATAATTAACATTATGAATATTAGTTTTTTGGTTGGCATATTTTAATAATAAATTCAGTTCCAAACTATTTTCATATTGCTCTTGATGGGATTTTTTTGTCTGTTTTTATTAAGAAATTTCATAACATCTTTTTCACAGACATTTTAATTTTTGAAAATAGCAAATTTACATTTTTTGTACCAAGAGCGATCATCTATTTTAGTATTTTTCAAAATAAATCTAACTTACCTATGTCCTGATAATAATTATTCAATTTGCATCTGCATTTCACTAAATTATAGATAGTATATCATTTAAGATTTGTTGTAAAAAAAAAAAAAAAAATTTCTATGAGGCAAAAAAAGATTCTTGATAGTTGTCAACAGTAATGCAGATTTGATACTCAGTATTATAAAGGCTGTAGAAAAGACACCCCCCCCCCAATCTTCATTGACTCAAGGAATTTAAAAATTGTTTTTATTGGCATTTTATCTGCCATTCATTACCTGTTTACTTTGTGCAGGTTTTTACACTCATGGCTATTCATTCATTCATTTTCATAAGTTTCCTTTTTTTGCTTATTAAACAGAACAAAATCTAAAGCAATAAATCGTCCTCTTTTGATTATCCAGACTGAGATTTATATATTTCTTCTACTTTCCTAAAACATTAATGTTCATTTCTTTGCCAATCTTCTTTTTTTTCTTTTTTTTTTTTCTTTGTCACACCTCTCTTTCTTTTCTCTACACACACACACACAAAAGCCCATCCTCTCTTGATATATATATATATATATATATATAAAAATCTACATGTATAAATACATATGAAAATATATATTTTTGAAAGAATGAATATTGAATAAAATGTTTTGTCTGAAATTTTGAGATGAATTGAAATTGTATATAATTTATCCAGATTGACTCTTTATTTTGATTGTTTTCATATTTACAATGTTTTGGCATTGTAGCTTGTGACCTTCCTCAGGTGGTACTTGCAATCTTTTTCTTGGGGTCCATTTAAAAAATGGTTTATAAAAGTTCATAATAACCCAAGATCCTTCCAACTCTATCTCCCTCACTTTCTTTCATTTTATATATATATATATATATATATATATATATATATGCACCCACCCCCCGAAAATTTTATTCCTATCTAGCATTGTTGGGAGAAAGCGCAAATTTGTAAACCTTAACTACTATTGCTAATACTGCAAAGCTCTTCCATGAATTGAGCCCTCTTGGTCATTGGTGCATTTATTCAAAGAATAAGTATGTAAAAAATTAGACTTCTTTCCAACCAGGTGCTGATAGCTCACGGGTAGAAACTCTGACTGATTCCAAATCAGATGGGTTTTGATCCCAGCTTGAGGCAATAAGATATTTAGCCACACTGATGAACTGTGAAACAGTCTCTGTGGATGACACACACACACACACACACACATATATAATGGACTAAGTCTGACAATTATTTTAA